AGCTTTTTTAGAGAACCATGTTCATTGAGTTAAATAAATACTTAGCAGTACAAAACAATAATATAGATATTGAAATCCATGCCATCCATAGAAGTAGGAAAAAGGAACTGACTATTGAAAGGCTTTGAAAATCTGCAACTCAGTTTTAAAAATATTTACATCATCAACTCTTTTTAGTTGCCACAAAACAATCACATTTGAAGATATTTAGTCCAAAATTATATCAGATTACATGAATGTTTCCTAATATCAGAATAAATCTTCTCACCTGATGCACAGATCTTTGTGTGAGAGATAAAGGCACTCCTGCAGGTTGTCACTCAAACTCCCTCTCGCTCTCCATGAATTTGTTTTAGCCGTCCCATTTCCTTTATATTTGTCTTTATGGAAATGCTGTTTGAGTTTCACCACTGCATGGATTTATTTGTATTTCACAAACATACCTGCAAGAAGTAAGTGTAGTAAACAGCTTATGTGTTTTACTTTCTCCGTCTATAGTTTTTATTTTTAAACCTAGTAGTTTATTACCAGGCGAGACTGTGAAGTTTCATGTTAAATACTACAGCAGAGGTTTACTTTAAAGAGGCCCTATTATGCTATTTGAGTTTTCCCTTTCCTGTAGTGTGTTATATAGGTTTCGCATGTAAATGGTCTGCAAATGCTAAAATCTCAAAGTTTCTCTCCCCCCCCCCCCTGCCTGAAACGCCTCCATTGTAGTCCTTTGTTTACTTCTGTAACATACTTCTGTCATTACTATGTAACACTTGGGCTTCTATTGGCCGGCGCAGGCAGTAGGAGAAAATTGAACATTAAAGCATGGAGACATCTCACAGTAGAGGCACAACATATTAATATGAACCTTAAGGTGAGCATAATATGGCCCCTTTAAAAAAAAGTAGCAATACTAAAGAGTACAAATATTGCATTCAAGAACGCAGTCAAGTAAACATACAACACTTGAGTAACAAATACTCATTATGCAGTATGGCCCATTTAAAGGTGGGGTAGGTAAGTCGGGCCGGCTAAAATGACTGGTCGTACTTTTTACAGTACTACGGCTTCCACAGATGACATTTTTTTTCAAATTTTTGAAATCTTTTTTGGATCTTTTGTCAAAGCACTTAAGATATTCATTGCTATCGGGATGTTAAGAGCATTCCATGGAATATAACAAAAAGTGTATCTCGAGCCGGTTTCTCAAACTTACCCCACCTTTAAGAATATCATGTATATTACATTGTTGTATTATGTAATTATGTTTTCCACAATGTAATGTTCTGTCTCTTTTTATGTCCTGCCACCTGTCTCTGTGGCTTGTTTCAGCTGTGAGGTCAGCAACAAACCCCTCGCTCATTATCCGGTCACTGACTTTATCTTATGCTCCCAAAAGCTGCCAATAATCCGCACACAGTCCCCTGGCCTTCTTTTTTAAGTCTTGCCTCACACACAGACACGTTTTATGCCAAGTCACCTCTCCATCACCCCAGAGAGCCCCTTATATAAGGCTGTGTCTCCCCTCTAGTTTTACTGCCTGTATTTTTGTCATCCGGGAAACATCCCTCTATTTTGCTGTTCAGGTATGTGCGTTGAGTTTCTTCTTCTTTGATATTTGAAAAATATGTCACCATCTAGACTAGAAGCAGGGGATATTTTTCAGTCAGTCAAAAAGTGTTAGAAAAAGTCTTCAATATTTAAAATAATAATAATTTGGCAAAATCTTGAATTAGTACAAATGTACTATGTTGTTGTACAATTTCCTGTAAACGTGCACACCATTGGATTTCATAATATTATATTGCTTAAGAACAGCGATTTTCGTTTTACGTTTGAAATGTAAATTGTTGTTAGATGAATTTCAACGATGTGAAATGAATTGGTAGAATATGTTTCTTTAAAGATATTATAAATATATTTTATAATAGAAACGTATCAATCGACTCTGTAATGCTAGGAGTGTTGCGCATATGATAAACCCTTGATAACATTTAACTTAAGATACAGTTCCTCTTAACACTACAGTGCTATTCTTCTTCTTTCAGCTCTTTGTTTTGATTTTTTTGGTTTGCTAAAATATATAAAAAACCTGCCCGGCTAATGGAGAGACAGACGAAGTTGGCAACAGTTTTTAGCTGCTGAACAAAGTGGTGCAATAAGCAGCTTAAAAGCCAGATATTCTCCACAAGTAGAGGCCAACATCAGGGCAAAAGGAAGAATGAATATTGGATTAACATACGCCAAGTGCCCAGAAAAAGCTAATTCAAATGAGTGTTATTTTGCGTGGTTGAGTTTTATGTAAATGGCAGCTCTTTGCTTTAGTTTTCAATTATAACTTAAAATGTACTGTTTAAGTAGTTACAGCTCTTTCCTGCCGTGTAAAAAAACCCTGAAATTGCACTTCTTACATTTAATCCATAGCAAATAAATAATTGATTGAATCAAAATGCTTTAAAATGTTTCAAGCCGATTGATAATGGCTGATGACTTAGTATAAACACTGTCCTTCTCAGATTTGTTTTATCGTACATTGTCACATTGTATGGATTTCCAATGAATACAAATAAAATCCAGGATGTTGATTAAGCTGTATGATATCTCTACAATTAGGAATGATCCCTTATATAATCCTTGGTGCCCTTGGCCTCTCTATCCGTCCGGTTGGTCAGTTTGGACAGAAACATCCAACAGTCAAGCGATGTGAGGAATTCCTCTCCCAATCCCTCATCTGCCTTTGTCCATGTGCCCGTGTTTATTCAGATTTACATGCTCATGCTCTGAGATCTTGGCTAAAAAAACTAACCATGAAGGGATCTGTGAGACTTGGGCGGCCTTAAAACTTGATCTACCATGTTAATTCACTCAAAGACTGACAGCGAGTCTGGTGTGTTATGAATATTGTGCTATTGCTGGTTTGTTTACCTAGACACCCATTTTTCTGTTTTGGTTTGACTCATCCGACTGAAATACACGGATAGGCTGCTAAAATAATGGCTAGGAATATTAAAATACTCATGGGGCTAAACACACCTAAATATCCCATCAATTCAGTCAGACTGCGACTAGTTCCAATGATAATAGAGGATTGGCTGGTGTTAATAGCAGCCAGCCGACCAGCTTAATCTCTCCATCCCACATTCTATCTTGTAAATCAAATTAAACAAAAAGGATTGGCCAGCTGATACCAAACTCTTATCCTGGGTAACAGGACACTGCTCCGGACTACAGTCACTCTGACCTCTTCTATTCCTAGACCATTAGCTACAAATGGCCGTCCCCTTTATCTTATGCCTAGAACAAAAGCACCAACCTGTGTTGAAAGTGTAATGCATCTACACTGGCCTACAGGACACATGAGCTTTGATAAGCACAGCCATCACAAGTGGCAAGCAAACGTATAGATTATCTGCTTTTTATATATCTTTTTTATGTGTGCTTAGTCAAAGGTTCAATTTGAATACCACATTTAGAGTGTAACTTTTGCCACAGAGAGTGGCCACAAGTTACTAAATAATAGCACAATTAATGTTGAGAAACAGTAGCACAAAAACAAAAGAGACATTTAGTTCAGCAAACAGATCCAGAAAATCACAGTTACACAGCAATATCTACAGTATCTAAAGCTAGCTAACGTTAGCCACGATAAGCTACTTGTCACAACAGAACAAATAAAGCTTTAGCAGCAAAACACTTTTGTAGTTTATGAATTAAGCTTACCATTTTTAAGTAAAGGATTGTGTTTTACTTTAAAACATCACAGTCCAGCTCTAAAGTTTGTTAAAAGTTCCCTAACTCCAGTCAACACATTGCAACTTTAGCTAATGTGTGTGTGTTAGCAGCTACATTGACTATGGGACAGAGCCATTGCTGGTGAATGAGGAGCCAAGTTAATGACCATTTGATACATATTCTACAACATGTGTGCAACTTTTACCTTTAAGCAGAACTAGACCTTGAAAAATCCTGAAAAAATAAATAAAATATGACATGTTTCATATATTGGGCTAATGCGTAAACAGTTATTACTTTTATTATTTGTTCTCCAGTGCCACCATGTCGGACTTTGAATATCATGGGTGAGTAAATCCACTTGTTATTTGCAATTTTTTCCAACTTGTTCCCAATCATTATATGTTGGCATCTGTTTTACATGTGTACATGTGTTCTTTCAATTATTGTTTATTTAGAGGCCCGGCGGAAGGTAAGAAAACTCACAAATTCATTTATTGGAAAGCAGTTTCATTGTGTCTCTCGACTCAAACGCTGTGTCACTCTTCCTTAATTCGGAAGAAGATGAGGAGCAGGGAGAAGGAGAAGGAGGTGAGACTGTGATATTGGACTGTGTTGACTTAATGTCTGAATTCCACTCAAACATAACTTATTCACATAAAGGCAACCTGTCTGTGAAAAAACAGGAGAACTTTCTAAATGTAAATATAGATTTACATATTGTATCCCGCCATGCTGGGTTTACATACTGTCCATGCACTTTGAATTTATATTCAAATTGAACAGGTAATCCTTTGTGTATCTTTTTGGCAGCACACAAGTCATAAACCCTGTATAAGTAATAAGTAATACAACTTAATTCCAATCTGCTTTATTCCACTTTGCCTTTGAGTTAAAGTTGGATTCAATTCCTCTCTTGTATTTTGACATATAACTGCTTTTTATTAATAAAAACATTCAATTATTCTCTTTTTGTTGCCTTTCTGGCTGCCATCTTGAAGAACGGCCAAAATACAAGTAAGATGGAATACTTAAAAAAAAGTAAATGCATAGCAGAGAAGTGAAAATAATCTGATGGTACATGATGTTATGCCTTCGTGTTATTTACAGGCCGGTCACACAGCTCGCTGCCCCTAAAATCCCTGAGGGGGAGAGGGTTGACTTTGATGTCTGTTCCTTCAAGGTTGTTGCTAATGGAACAACACGATTAAGGCATCAAATACCAGCTGTTAAATAAAATCTTGATGTATGACGTTTCTGCTCGTCCTTTTTAGGATATCCATCGGAAAAGGATGGAGAAAGATCTCCTGGAGCTGCAGACTCTGATTGATGTGCACTTTGAGCAGAGGAAGAAAGAGGAGCAGGAGCTGATTGGACTCAAAGAGAGGATTGTAATGCTTTTCCTATACTGTTTTCACAACTGTTTGTCCATTAGTTTCATATGTATTTGTCTGACAGATAGTTACGCTGATTATTCAGAATAACAGTGATTTAAGAGCCATGTGTAAAAGCTGTTTTTTGCTGTTGTAGGAAAGACGTCGTGCAGAAAGGGCTGAGCAGCAACGTGTGAGGGCTGAAAAAGAGCGGGACAGACAGACGCGGATTGCAGTAATTAATGCCTTTTACATATGTTGTCTAATCCCTTCATGACAATTATCCGCTTCGATCGCCATATTTTGACCTAATACATTATGAAATAGCAATTGAAACAGCCATAATAAGCTGAAGATTAATCTTTTCAGGTGGAGAGACAGAGGAAAGAAGACGAAGAGGCGAGGAAGAGGGCAGAGGATGAGGCCAAGAAGAAGAAAGTGCTCTCCAACATGGGGGCTCACTTTGGAGGGTTCCTGGCCAAGGTAAGAATAATAAATGTCTTAGGCAGATGTGCTACTGTAAACTCTCTAATCCTACAAGAAAGTGAGTTGTTTTTACTTCCTGCAGGTAGAGCAGAGGCGTGGAAAAATGCAAACTGCGAGGGAAATCAAGAGGAAGACTCTGGCAGAGAGACGCAAGCCCCTGGCTATTGAGTCCATGCGAGAGGACGGCCTGAGGTCAGTTTAAGGTCCATTATGGTCCATTCCAATCATTTTTTACTTTTATGTATGCACCACGACACCAAGTCAAATTCCTCGTACGTGTAAACCTACCTGGTAATAAACCTGATTCTTATTCTGATTCTGATTACATTTGAATCCAGCTCAATTTAACTCAAGAAGGCCAGTTTACTAAGTCTGGCACATAATATTTAAAGCTGTTGAAAAAGGAAAAAGTGAGCTTCTATTAAGACATAAGAAGGTATTTCAGTATTCTCATGTTTCTCATGTGCTGTGTTTAAGAGAGAGAGCCAGGGAGATGTGGGAATGTATCTACCAGCTGGAGTCAGAGAAGTTTGACCTGACAGAGAAGACGAAGAGGCAGAAGTATGAGGTGAGCCCTTGAGTTGAGAATATACAAAACTGGTATTTTAAAAATGGCTCATTTGTGATCCGTGTTCTTTTTTCTTTTAGGTCAAAGTCCTCCTGAACAGAATCCAGCAGGCTCAGAAATTGTGAGTCCTTACTTGACACAACATTAATTTCCCTGAAAGTAAAAGCATTCTGAAGAACTACTTTGCATCAACTATGCAAACATACCACAGATGGATGGCAGCAGTTGAATAAACACAGGCAACACTAAACTAACAGCTCTTAAACATGCGCCACTTTATGCACAGAATTCACACATCTTAGATATTAACATACATGTATTCTCTATCAGTCACAGTGGCTTGTAATTGCTTTGAGGACTACGACTGTTTTTAACACACTTTGTTCTTGTCTTCACGCAGCAAAAAGGTGCACGGTAAGGGGAAGGTCGGAGGACGCTGGAAGTGAACACACACAGAGGCAAAAAGAAGACTAGTTAAAGGACAAGATTTCCAGTGTGGGATTTATTGAAATATATATCCACTCACATTTGCAACACATTTTGTATCTGTAAAATACATACAGTAAAATGGACATTTTCTAGCAGTGTCATTGAAATCTAAAATTAAACACTCACAGTTGCTTCTTTTTAGCTGTACACATAAATCAGTTCTGTATGTGATCTTGTAAAGTGACTGTGATGATGTGAAGCAATATAACCTTTGCTATTGCATATTGTGATAAAGCTGCTAAAAATGGGAGCAAATAAACAAAACACATTTAATTCCTCTTTGGTATGAAAACAGCATGGACGTCATCACTCTTCCCGTCACGCCACAGCTCAAATTCAGCATCCAGAGCCATGCTAACCACTTTCTCTGCAAAGCCCGCTTCTTGCTCTTTGTTTACATCCAAAATATACCTGCAATACACACAAATGCAACAGTGTCATAACAACTTTGTATCAGTCAACTTGTAGATGCAGCTGTAGCAAATAAGACACATGCAAACAAGAAAATGCACTTTTGATTAACATGGCTGTGCTCTTGGTGACTGAAGTGTCACCATGGTTACAAGCCCTGTTACTATAAAAACCCTCACTTGGCCAACTCCACGACGAGCACAGCGTCTGGTGCTGCAATCTGTCTCACCGTCGGGCCCAACTTGTGCACGCAGCTTTACAGCATTGACAGTGGGGGAAACAAAAACACAGAAATTAAAAACATGGTCAGCAGATCGTATTGTAGATTAAATTACTACATTTGTATTAAACTGTTTACTAAGTGTATTTATATGTGTAGAAATGAGAGAGAAAAAGGTCTCACCTGACAGAGAAGTAGATGGAGTCAAAGAAGTGAGAGAATTTCTGTTTTTCTGGAAGTTTGTCAAGTGAGTCCAAAGGCAGGAAGGTCACAGAGATCCCACTCAGAGGCATCAAATCTGGAGAGGATTGAGAAAAGCTAAATGTTTATTTCAAAGTAACTGTTTATCTGGGTACTAATGATGATTTAAATATCTAAACAGGCTTCAGAAGGCTGGGAAGTGATCTACAATTGACTGGAAACCTTAGACTCAGTAGATCGATTTACATTTCTTAAATATATAACATGTGCACCCTGAACCAAAAATGCTGCAACATAGTCATACTACATTGTTTGCATCAGTCTAAGCCAGCGGTTTTCAAAGTGTGAGGCGCGTCTCCCCTGGGGGGCGCCAGAGAGCTTCAGGGGAGGCGCAGCGTGAGAAAAAATAATAACGAGAAAAAGACGAGTAAAGTGACATTTGCACACTTTTGCCTGTCTGTGGAGACCGAGTTCCCCCACCTCGCCAAAAAGGCTGTTAAAGTGCTCACTCCCTTCACCTCCACCTACCTGTGTGAGTGCGGGTTTTCCGCATTGACTCTGATCAAAGGAAGTGCCGGTCAAGGCTGCAGCCAGAGGATGATCTGCGTTTATTCCTGTGTGCATCAAAGACGCAGACTCATTGTTCCCACTAAAGTAGGGGTGAGTGTAATAAGGAGATAAAGTTGACGTTCAGTGTGTTGCCGGGAGCATATAAGGATGTATCCACGATGTTGAAAATGTTAAAAATGTTTAAAAGATATGTGTTGAGAACACGGCGTGCGAAAATATACGGGTCGTGCTGCAGCTAGATGTGCCTGTCCTCTGTAAGAAGGTGTCGGCGACTGACATGCAAGGAAGAACGGCTGTCCACAGGCTGTTCCAACTTTAACAACTTTATTAACTTCCAGGGTAGTGAATTGAACATGCTATTGTAATTGGGTGTGTGGTATATTTTCATGCACGGACACGCATGTTCCACAACACACAAACTGAACAACACTCAATTGTACGATCGCTACCAGTGTCCTTGCGATCTTGTTATAACAAGTCAACAAGTGCACGTTATTACTGATGCAATATGGTTGAGACCATTCGGGCTTATTCTAGAGGGGTGCAAGGAATAGTCCAAGTAGTGGAGGAGTTTTATACAATATGTTTAAAACATAAAGATAAAAAGGTTTTAAAAAGTGATTGTTTAATGTTTTAAGGAGGTGACGCTACTCAGCCAATCAAATCGGTGCAGTCAGTGAGTCAGCACAATAGATTCAAACACTCACAGAGACGAGACAAGAGGAGAGAAACAGTCGGAATAATTTCAAATGGCGGAAGGTAGACAGCGAAAACAGAGCATTTAATGACATGTTCTCTTACTGGACCTCTTTGAAATGCAATGTAATAACAACAATAATAATAATAATAATAATAATAGCAATAATAATTGGGAGGGGGGGCGCGGCTGTTCATATGTTCTCTGAGGGGAGGCTCACCTTCCCACACTTTGAAAACCCCTGGTCTAAGCTATTTAATTGTGAGTTAAACAGGTTTGTCATTGCGTTCACTAACACCCTTCTAAAGCCACAGGGCTGCTAGAGCTAACAGCCATTTACCGTTGATGGTGACAGATTTTCGCTCAGACTCTGGTGGCGGCTGATCTGCGTCAGACTGAGAAGAAGTGGGGGGGCAGCCCCGTCTGCTGGACAGGGAGTGGAACAAGTCCTGCACATTTGCAAAGGAGATATCCTGGGCTGTCTGTGGATGTGGGGAAGGGAAGGGACAGACATTCATATGGTCGTCGGTAGATGCACAACGTAATGCAACTGTATGATACGAGGAAGCAGAGACAATAGCTATAATATATTTTACCTTGATGTGTTGCCCATTCTGTGTTTTCAGCATGCTCTTGTCATCAGTCTCAATGCCAAAGGAGAGGTAAGGACTTGAAACAATGTCTCCCCAGTAGCCCCTGACAGCCACTTTGTTTCCTTTCTGTCCACACACACACACACAAAGTTCCTTCATGTCATCGTATTGCTGTGTTGTGTAGACAATATTGCACAGAAAAACCGACAGTTACCTGACTGAACACTCTGGAAGAGAGCAAACTTGGATTGGTTATTTGGTAGACACCTTCCCTCATTTCAAACGCCAAACCTCGCTCCCTCCATCGGGCATATTGTTGTTTGTTGATGACACCGCACTGCAGATACAGAAAGATTGTCCATCGTTAATCGATTCTATCTTCTAAATGTTGCCTGAAATAACTCGACAAACAAATGAAAAGTACACAAACAACTCAAATACCCCTCTCTCGTGCAGTTTCATTTTCAGGTCCCAGTCGAAGCAGCCTTTCTTAGAGTCGTAGCGGGTTCCAAGGTGCTGCCTGACCCGATAATCCCAGGCTTTGGACATTAGGATAGGGGCAGCACTCTGAGATGAAGATGATGAAGACTTAGGTTGGATCCACAACTTAAATATCCTGGCCAGCTCATCTCGCTCCTTGAACTGTGGAAATATCAAACAGTATATGAAAGTCTAGTCTCTGAGCAGGCATCAATGTCTGATGAAGAAACAAAGAGGATTGCACCTTGAGAAGCGTTGTGTTTAGACAGGGGTGTGCGGCTGTTTCCAGTGTTTCAGTAACAGACAGAGAGAGCTGCGATGCTGCATGTCTCAGCGTCTCTTCTGTCTGACTGCGGATCTCACCGTTCCCAAATACCTCCAGGAAAACCTCTGTCTTTTCTAAAACAAAAATGTCAATATCATTCAAATGTGTTTTTTTTATTTGTACTTACTTATAACGTTTTTACTTTACAAAATCCCACAAACCATTATTTCCCATGCTTTCCTTTGGCATCAGTGCCAGGTAGAGGAGCAGCAGCTGTCTAGCCACCACCTCCATGCTGCTCTCTATTACCCACACCTGCAGTAAAGATGAGAAAGTAAGTTTGCAGCTCACAGTTGAGTATATATCTTTGTTCTCAGGGATTCAAAGACAGTGTAAGTGACTGAGAGTCTCACATGAAGTCTCTCTTCCTCTTGCAAACCAGAAATGGTCTTCAAAATATGTCGTGGATCTCCACTGCCGACCAGTAAAACATTTACATCCCCACCGCATTTCACAGGGCCTGGCACAGAAGGACAACGTTTATTACAGTAGTTAAAATACAGCACACTTCTAGGACCGGGTACTAACCTCAATGCTTAATTAATACATATTCAAGATTCAAAGGTTTTATTGTCACATGCACATAAGCTACAGTGTAAATGGCAATGAAATTATTCTGACCTGAGCTAACTGTGTCTGTAGCACTGAGTATTAAAAGTTGGCATCTAGCCTTGTTAAATAATTTTTTATACAGATCATGAATTACAAAAAAAATCATACATTTGTAAATGTTAGACTGTATCATTTAGGCAGTACACATTCTGGTTTGGTTTATTAATGATTAATTGTTTATCAACAACATTTGACCTTTTTAAAAAAAGTATAAAATGCTTTTTATTGTATCATGTTTTAAAGGACTTATGGTTTTATAGTAAGGCATTGAAAAAAAGTCATAAAAAAAAATGAAATAAAATATATTTTTAGATTGTGATATCAATGTTATAACAGGTAACTTCAATAAAGTATGTGGACCTAATTACTGTTGATCTGATGCACCTGTGTAGAGGACCCCGCGGGCTCGAGGCACTCACCTGTTTTCAGCAGGTCTCGCGCAGGACTGAAGCCCCACCAGGCGATGCAGCCCGCTCCTTCTGAAGCACGTCCAGCACTCATCCTGTAATGTGACCGAAAAAATAAGACACACAACAAGCCCGGACACCAGACTGTAAACTGTTCAAGGCTCAAGCTGTAAGGTAATGTTTATGATAATGTAGAAACTTTCCATTGAGGTAGCTTAGTTTAGCTTGGTTTAGCACGAACTTTAACCCAAGCTAACATTAGCATAGCCTACTTGGTCAAACAGAACATACACTGTTAGCTTATCAGTGAAGCTGTTCAAGGGGCACAACCCCGTCTCTTAGGTCAATACTGTCATAAATGGTGTTGCACTTCTACCCAAATAATGTCAAGTGAAGAAAAGTAAAGATAAAACTTACCTCTCAGTCTGACAAAAGAGTAAAGTTTTTAGCTAACCGTCTCAGCAGAAAGTTTGGGTTCTGTTGCTGGGCAACTGTTTCTAGATGGGTAGAACAGGCGCCATCTACCGGTGGAAATATTATTGGCTAGTTATGTTATCAATAATCCTCTATTATCTTACTCAGGATACTCTAGGATATTGAATTGTTGGCTGGGTCATTTAGAATATTTAGCAAGTAAAATCAATGTGTAGAAAGAGTTTTATGTCCAAAATACTTCCCTATGTGTCTATCAGTGTAAGGAGATAACAAAAACAAATGAAAAACGCTGCAGGAACTGCGACCTTATACATTTGCCAAAACTCAACTCAACGTTTCCTTATCAGCTTTTCAAGAGCTTCAAACCAACTCCAAACAAACAATTTATCAATTGTGATATCTAAACTTGAAGTATAAACGTATTGTACGTTGTCGTTGTGATAACTAAGGCTACATTATGCACGAAGAAACTGCACATCAACTAATTCTTAATTGAATCAAAGATGAGAGAAGCATTGATGTGAAACTGTCTATTGTGAGTTTATTTTGAAAAGATCCAAAGCATTACAACAAGTTTTATTTGGGACCTGCACCACATCACTACAAAAAGAGCACAAAGGCTCAGTGTACATGTCGTGAGAAATAGAAGCTCCACCATGTAAACAGAGTAACTTTTCAGAACACAGAGTTACTCTGATATCCTTCTTTTATGCATCCAAATGTTACTATGCCAATACATGAGCATACAATTGTTTCCAAATATACTACAAGTCATATTGGTTTACAGTAAAAGGTAAATGGAGGGATGCCAAGTTACAACCAAATATCAAAAATTGTCTGTACATCACACAGACACATACACACACATACATACACACATTTAAGTATCTTAAATGAAACACAATCAATACAAGAACATCTAAATTGGGAAAGCATCAGGATTAACAATAAGTAACATATCGGCAGGTTAGTCACACTAAAACAAGGTGCGATTTTAACGAGGTTTAGCTTTGACTGCCGCATCGACCTCTTCTTCTGGCAGGAGAGTGTGCCACTGGGCCACCGGACGTCTGGGATTTGCGACCATATCTGACCAGTGGCGCAGACCGACTCCTGTAGCTCCATAACCCATGAAGGTCTTTCCAATGGGGTCATTGCTCCCAAGTTTATCATAGTCCAACACTGTGATGACCACTTGCACTTTCTGAAAGACAGAAAGAAAGACATCATTCCCAATATCAACACTGTAAACTCAGAACTTATTTACAGTTACATTTAAAAAAAAATATTGATATGAAAACACAGCGTACCTGTATCTGCTCGAATGGGACTTCAAAGCTGAAACTCTCATTAAAGTAAGGGTTTAGTGTGTTCTTCTTGACTGTCGTCTTTTTCTTCTTAATCCGTTTCCCATTTTGCTGCAGAACAAGCTTTACATAGGGATCTTAAGGAAGAGAAAGAGAGGATGATATAGTTTTGTTTTGTTGGACTATTTAAATTACCCCATGAGAATGATTTTTTCATAGAATAAAGCAATTAGATGAAGGAGACCTATTTACCTGATAAACCACCAACATCCATTTTCTTCAGATTCTTTGCCTCCATGATGTTCACGGTCAGTTTTCCAGCAGTGGGTACATAACGTAAAGAAATGCAAATATCGCCCAGTTGCTCTTGCTGAAAAGAAAATATTATGGATTAACACCATGTTTAATCAAATTGATGAGAGCATAATTTATAAAACAAATTCTGATCATCATAGATGATTAGTTTTCTTAAAGGAAGAGCCAGGGTGTAATAACAATAACACCTCTTACCTCTTCCTTCTCACCACTCTCTACATCTCTCCATTGTTGCATCGGCTGGCCCAAATCAACGCTGTTCATGGGAATCTTTATCTCACCGATCATGTCATGCTTTGAGAAACGGTCAAAGTCGAAAACTTGCAGAATCAAAGTCTTTCCGCCCAACTCTGCATACGGGATCTACAAAGAGAGTTTAATACAGCATTAGGATGTATATTACGTAAAGGGAAAAAGTATACCGTTCTGTTAACATATAACAACATGTGCATATCCACACAATGGAGACAATTCAAAACATGCTGCTTTGATATTTTTTGCGGGCAGGGATACCTTGACAGACGCCATTCAGGGAATGAGGGACTAAAGACGAGGGGAAGTAGAGACACAGGCCAAACTTCTGCCTCACAAGGGGTAAACAATGACATGTCATCAATAACCTGGATCACAAACAAAAGCTGAGACAGAAAGAGAAAGAACAAACAAGCATCAAGTCAACAAAGACACAACGTCAGGCATGTGGTACCTTGAAGATGAAAGTCTCGTTGAACACGGGGCATAAGTTCTTGCGCTGAACTTTGGTCTCGTACTTCTTCTTTTGTCTGGCAGCAAAAACACTTTGACGTAGGGGTCTGAGGTTCCCCCCATATCCATAGCAGCAAGGTCCTGAGCCTGAAGGATGCCCACTATGAGCTACAGAGGAAAGACAGAAAGGGTCAGAATAAAAAAAGATACACATTCCTTGCTGATAGTTATTTGTTAAATCTCTATATAAATCATTTCATACTTGAAACTGAAAGCTTTGTTTTCACACAGGACCTACCTGAGCATCTGTGAAGTTGTAGTCCAGCGAGAACTCCAGTCTGCCCAACTTCTCCTGTTCCTTCTCCTCTTGCTCTCCTTCCTTCTTTACATCTCCCTCCTCCCGGAAAAAAAACACCAGTGCTTTGGATATTCATCATGAATATTTAAATCTGGTAAGATTAAACAATATTTCTGGAAATGACATACCTTCTCTCCATTCTCTCCTTCGCCTTCTTTTTCCTTCTTGCGGCGACCTGTTTTCCTCTCCCTAACTTTCTTTGGCTTTTTCTTTTTCCCGCAGCATTTCTTGAACATACAGAAGATGCAGCATGCCACCAAAACCAGGACCACCACAACAATGGCTGCTATTGCCCACACGGGAACTGCAAAATAACAAGAAGGTGACATCACTCATCAGCATTCACTTCATGCAAAGAGGGAGAATATTTATCATGGCAGAAAGTAAAGATATCTGTGACCTTCACAATTATAGCAACTACAGAAACCCCAACAAAACATATACAAAAACATGTACATGAATCTGATCTTAAGGTAGAAGTCTTAACCTTTAAACTCTATCCCCTTTGTCCAACGCTTTGAAATAACTCTCTTAAGAGGATTTAAATCTTTCAGATCTCGGGATTACATCAAAGAAAAATCCACTTCTCGATTCATCTTGCTCCTGTGGTCAAAATCAGTCCAACTATACTAAATATAAATTCAATTTGCTGCTTCTTTCTAAGGTGTTTATCGGAGGGTTCTTATGAGCATTTCATGACCTCACATTTGTAAGCACTTGTTTATGCAGGGCCGGTTGCTGTGTGTTGTCAGCAACACCCTTCTCCACAATCAGATAATAACACACTCCCCACGCAGTGCAGCTCATCATTAAGGGCCTAACTGAGAGCCCTTCAGCAGTAGTTGTTAAGTTAAAGGAAAAACAATTGACGTGCACTTCTTCCCCATACCATTTCATAGGTATGATGAATGTTACAATTATTTGGTAAAATGATCAAGAAAACAAGCTCAAACTAACTTTACTGTTTGGGTTAGTGAAGAATTTCAAAAACTACAATAATAATTTTACAATATCTTGAAAATATTGAAAAAATACACTAAACTGCTAATTTATATTACCATAAATATATCATGTTAGCCCTAATCATGGGTATTTTGCTTCTTCCAAATAATATCTCAAGATGTACAGTTTATTGCAACAGGTAAATTAAAGTATATTCATAATTTTTTTGTAAACTCTATAAGGGGCTTACTTGGCAGATGACCGAGTTCATTCATGAACTTCTCCTTCATGTGCTTGTATTCGTGGCCGTTGTGATGTTCTGTATGCGAGTGCTCATGGTGTTCTGAATGGGAGTGCTCATGATGGACTGGCTCTGTAGCTTCCTCTGATTTTGGTTCTGGTTCTGGTTCGGACGGCTCCGCAGCCCTCCGGCCCCGGACTCCGACGCTTCCCAGCCTCATATCAGCTGTGAAAACATCAGAATCAGTGCTGTGATTGTTGGCTCCTACAGTCAGAGATAACACGACCTGGTATGTGCGCTGTGTAATCCCTATGTCCATGCGTGGCAGTACAGTTCGAGAGCATAGGACATCTCTAAGCCAGATGCTCAACATGGCTGACCCTAATCCCACTGTTACTCTCATCCACTCTTTCATCTCCCCCGCCCCATAACCCACGCCTTCACTCCCACCCGTTGGTCCCATCCCCATTTTTCTCTCGTCACTGTCTCTGCACGTAACTGGATTAAACTGTTGGTCTACAATATTAATCCAAAATCCCAGATTCCCTAAGCTAAAATAAATCGGAGTTGGTCTCCTCCCTCATTCTACTTCCCTTGGAGTTTTCTGGAATGACGACTGTTTATTAAGGCACATTTCTAAAGAAACACAGTGAACTATTGGGAAATTGATGAGAAACCTCAATCTTTCTAGTTTTAATGAAAATGGAATTGTCCCATTACAATTTAAACCAAGAAATAACATAATTTTACGAAAATATGTACTTGTTTTTGGTGGATTCATAGAACCCTATCAACAGCAATTTCTCATTTATATAGTTGCAGGTGCTTTAAAAAAAATGTTGACTAAAATGTAAACATTATTGGGATCTGTTCACATTTATACTTAACTCATATAAATGGTGTGTTGGGGTGATTCATAGGAAACTACATCATTCACATCAAAAGAACCCATCAAAAACTTTGCCAATCCCTAAAGTGGGTATGTTCAAAACCAAATGTGACGCTATCATTAAAAAACAAATCTGAATAAAAAATGTTAGCTTTTTCCTCACAGGTATTATTTTTCCATGCAGAGCTCTTAATCCTTGAAATGTTTAGACACTCATACTCTTGCATCTTACCTGTTGATATGTCCCTTTAATTCCCTCTATGCCGCCACAGCTTTTGGAGCAACTTTAGTTCGAAGTGTATTTCTTACTGCTTCCCGTTTGGCTCTTTGTAGTCGTTACACACCCATCGTTCCTTCAGTATGCTGCGCAGTCTGTTTGGCAGTCTCCCTACAAACCCTTTCTACCAAAGCTAAAGCGCTGGCAAATCACTAGAGCTGCGTCGTGATTTAATCCCCCCCCTCCTCCGGATACTAGAGCGCTGACAACACATCTGTTGCTGTATGTCTCTGAACGAAGGTGCATAGAGAGCAACAGCCACTTTTTCTTAAATTACTTAAATTTAAAACACCTTTAACCGTTTTAGGGCTTCTCCTTGTGAGCTGTGACTTTTCATCAGACTGAGGAAACATGGCAGTGGTGGTTATGTTTATCCATTAGATTGAAGAGTGTAATACATTAGGCCTACACTAATCCCCTCAGCATAGCTGTCCTCGCTGTCAATCGGCAATCTACCAACAACTCTCACAGAGTGGATATTCCACCCTCCACATCCCCTGGTTTATCGCTTTACTGTACAGCCACATACCCACATTTAGAGCACTGTGAACAGTAATCCCAGGCTCGCTGCCACATGTTTGCACTGCTACATCTGGAGATCTCAGTGGCTCCAATCCAACATGCAACAGCCTCCTCTAATAGATAACTAACTAAACTGCATAGGGAACATGGAAAAAAGAGCACAATATAATACTTATTCTATCAGAATCAGAAACGGGTTTATTACCAGTAGGTTGACACGTACGAGGAATTTGACTAGGTGTCGTGGTGCATACAAGTAAAACAAAAATTTAAAAAACACAGATAGCAAACTATATTAAGAACACTATAATAACATTACAAAAAAATAAGAAAAAATATATTAGACTATGCTGTTGTACTTGGTTTGATTTTATTCCCTCTGTAGTGTGTAAGAGTGTTTTGTCAACACGCCGCCTTTCGAGTCAGCTAATTAACAGGACTTTATCAATACGATGTCACTCCCTAAGATTTCAAGTATACACAACAATAGTAAAGACCCTAATAGTGTTTTGTAAACACTGTTGCTCTCATTTAGTCACGATTTTTTCTTTGGTTCTGAACTAATTCAATAGAATAATAATCGAATGTTTTTCACAACTGTACAACACAACACATTCGTAGCATTTATCTTGGGTGTGTTTCAGAACTGCTTGTCTAGACCCGAACTGAAACATTAAAAGACCACGCCTTGCTGTGAAGAACTGTTTCAAACCCTCCTGCAACTAAATCTTATCTTTGCTGAAACATGTAATTTACTAAAGAAGGAGCATGGTCATTTTTAACTACATGCTGGTAGCCTAATGTTAACAATGAAGCTCCCCCCAGCAGTGACTATGCAAAGTCCCAACGTTATCTTTACAATGTTCTATAGGGAGTCGCTGACATGACATCAGGAAAAGTACAGACTGTGTTTAGACTGCATGTAGGATCAGATAGTCCATCTGAACATACAGTTGTTAAACGGGTTGTAAAAAAGACTGACAACAAAGATATAGCACAATCTGTCTTTATTCAATGATTTTCGAAATCTTCAACTCTTTGACTCCAATTATTTCAAAATAGTATCAATTTACAAAAACATTTGTGAAGAATAAACCTCCGACACTGGAATGCATGACATACTTTAAATGAGTATTTTTTAATAACTGAAGAAAAATGTGGTTTTAACACTATATTATTGAGAACATTATTTTCAAGTGTGGTTTTCATGACAAAATGAGGTATTTCTGTTTTTTAGCTTTAAGTTTCTCTTGTGCCATTGGTACAAGAATAAAGTTTGTGCTAATCTGAAAATATTGTATACTTTTCTTAACGGAGAAGAGAGAGACTTTTGCTCTCTTGACACTATGTATCATTTAAAGATGTCGAGCATACTTTACTGTAATGGTTTGACCTTTACAGTGTGTGTTTATCAAAGAGGTATTCTCCCATTGGACCGTGTGTCTCGGACGCAGTGATGCGGGTCAGACTGCCAATGTAATCGCCCAGCTTCTTGATGGTGTCGTGGCTGTCTGGGAGGAAGTGCTGCTCGAGGAAGTCACACAGCTACAAAAGAAGAAAGACAGGAAAAAGTGAGTAAGATGTTAAACGTACTATACAAGGGGGTCAAAAGGTGATATATAAAACAAGGAAACTGTTCATATTTAATAGAACAAACAACGGACTGATTTTGCATAATATTCAACTTGTGCAAAAAAGTATTATCCAGAGTAGCTTTTTTTACATATTTACTATCTGTAAGCTTGACAATCACCTGAGAACAAGTAGCATTTATATCCATCTAACAGTGCCACTTACGTGAGGGTCAGTATGGGTGCCAGCTCTGCGGTGCACATCAAGGATACAAGTGTTGAGAACCTTCTGGTAGTCCAGGGAAAAAGACATTGCATCCAGACCACTTCTCCAATCCTCTCTACTTGGTTTCTAAAATAGAAAGTTGATACTTGGATGAATATATGTACACATTTTAAAAATAAAGGCTTGAAAATGACACTACAAAAACTGGACTTACAGCAATAGTCTGAAGCAAAATTTGGCCGCCTCTCATGTTCTGATATTCCAGCAGCTTCTCAGCCTGATCCCTCTCTTTCATGGAGCGCTCCAGGAAAAACGTGGAGAATTTAGGCAGGGCAACATCATCCCTGTCAAAATACATCCCCTACAAGAGATGAGATAAATAAAGCATTTAACGATTACAGTGCAGTCACAAACTTTCAAAGAGGGCTAGCTCTATTGTTTATTTCTGTGCAAACACAGGTCTTTCTGTGCACAGGCCCTGACACACCAAACTGACACCAAATAACACGTCCCGACGGACCCGACTGTTGTGTCGCCTCACGTCTCCTGCGTCTTGGCCAAAAAGTCGCACTGGAACACACCGCAAAGACTTCAGCCGACGGCCAAGTAGCACGTACGCACTGCGCGAGTCGCAATAACACAGCGTCCACACAGCGGCGTGCGTTGAAGCTTGCCGGCGGGCGTGTCTGAAGCTCGACCAACAACCAATCACATGAATCTCCCGCCCCGGACACACAAGCACGCGGTTTGATTGGCTAGAGCTTGTACTGGAATATGATTTGATTGGCTGACGCTTCCGTCGAAGCTTCAAAAGTTGAACATTGCTCAACTTTTGAAGCGAGCAACGCGAGCAAAGCGAAGCTCCCACAATGCAGTTCGGCAAAGTGTGACGTCACCCCATTCAAAGTGAATGGGCATAAGCGTTGAAGCTTCAAAAGAGGCAACCGGAAGACAGACTGCGTGATATATACAAACAACAAATAGCTACATGCTACAGCTCGAGCCAAGCTGCACATGAACTATGCCAATATTTTAACAGTATCGGTGCAGTGCCTTTTCAGTGGGGCAAGATATAGCAAATATGTGTGCCTATCCTGCTATTTGTGTTTATTCTTTTAATCACACAGCGTTAAGAAAAAAAAAATGTGCCTACATAACTTTCAGTTGCAGCCCTAGCATTATTATTGGTTTAACTACTAACAGTATATTTTTTTAAAACATTTTAAAACCATCTTGAACAGCTACAACATCTTGAACAGCTACAACATTAACCAATCTGACAACAAAGCATGACAAATGTCACAAGTCATATAAGGACTGGTGTTATACTGTTGACCTTTAACGCTAATAAATCTTACCAGAGAAAGGTAGGCGTAGGATGCATTGAGCTTCAGGTTGATGAGTTTGTTGACGTCTCCTTCAGTCTCCGCATGGAAGTTTTGTTTTACCACAGACTGCATTTCTAAAAAGACAAAAACATATTGCAATCAATGTGACTGGTATATAGGTAAACCAACTCCAGTTTGGATAAAAACACCACCAAACTTCAGACAGATAACCGTGTCTGTCGTTTTGTAGCACAGAGCAGTACAGAGGACAAAGGGATATCTTACCTCTCATCTCTCTTCCAGCTAACTTGGCTACCAAATGCTTGTGTTGTTTACTCTCCCAGTGAAGTGAGCTAATATAGGATGTTTGCGTCTGTGCTCGTCAGCTTTTTTGCACCCGGTGTTTAATGGCTTCAGTAAAACATCAGCCACGCTGTGGTCATGTGTTTATGAAGTGAATTGAGTTCAGGTGGGATGTGCCTATCGTCAACAAGGTTACGCGAACACTAGAACATTGTGTTCGCTGAGAAATAAAGAAGATCTCTACAGTTAGATTAAGCAAAGACATGAGCCCTACCGCAAAAGCCCAGAACTCAATAAACAGGAAATAGTGACCGACGCTATCTTCACATTTATCACTGAAAGTTAGCCGAAGCTACAAGCTGTTAGCACTTAATTAGCATTACAATTAGTTGACGTAAACGACAAGTACGACAGTCTGTTAGTTACATTACAATGTTACATTTTGCTGTTGGTCACTCACCTGTCAGTAAAAGTAACGCTACTCCACTTCCCCAGTACTCTGGCTGACTTTATCTTGTTTACAAAAAAAAGAAACAGAGACCCTCCTCTGGCTAACGTTAGCTAGTTAGGTCTTTTATGTGCATCCTTGTGTGCATCTCTACTGCCCTCTCCTGTGTTTGGGACGAATGACATCAGAGAGTGTTTGTTTACCCAAACCCTAAACACAACGCATACACGACCAAATGTTACAGCTACTAGTTTTAATGTTTTGAATAAAAGGGACCATATACTGCTGTTTACATTTATTTCAAAGGTACAAACACAAATGACTGCACAGTGATCATGCTGCAATCAATCCGGGAGGGTGTGCCACTCACAAGGGAACTGAAACAGCTGTGATAAGGTTCTCAACACCAGTCCAAGAGAAAAGCACTGATTTAAAGAGAAACAGATTAAGTGTAGAGGATAAGAGGAATATACATGTACAGGAATGTATCTAGTTGTGTACAGATACACATGGTGCACAGTATGACCTCATATCCTTTCAGCCTGATTCAGACTTTGATAGATTGAAATTAAATCATACTTCAAATTACAATTTAATTTGATGTCAAAATGGATTAAGACTCACAAAACAGGAGCTCCATTTTAAATTTTAAATAGTTTATTAGTTTTTTAAGACTGCAGATTCTAAAATGTTACATTATCCTGCAGATAGGGGACAGATATGAAATAGACTACAGTAAGTTTGCTTGATGAATTCAAATGCTTTTTATTACAAGTACTGGTTAAGCTCAATATCTAATACGGAAGTTCTATTTATTGTGTAGAGGGAGATTATGTTATACCAATAAATAATGAAAAATAAGATCATTTATAAAGGTAATTTCCTCCTTATGTTTCCCCAATGAAAAACATTAGACAACATTTGATCTGATAAACCAGCACTTTTATTGCACTCTGCACCATAAAATGTGAACAGAGAAACTGTCATGACTTCAGGTTCTGTTAAAATGTAGCTGGTGATGTTTTTTGCTCGTAGTTCCTTATAGATCTTAACCACAAGGAAGCTATAAATATGACAGCCTTCCGAGACAGAAACTAAAAGAAAAAGACTGCTCTGTGAAACCCGCCCAACTGAAGAGACAAGACAGTTATTTAACTACTTATTATCAATCATTAAAATAATCCTTTAAAGAAGTTAGAAAACAAAACAAATATAATTTATCTTGAGCACCACTTTTGAAAGCATGGCCTGTGTTCATAAAACATTTGTCCATTTTTATTTACACATCATAAAAACACACAGGCCGTCACAGACATGAAGCTGGTAATGTACAAAACAGTAGATGTAAAGCAATTACCACTAATAAGCATGCAATATAAAACAGGCAAATGTAGTTGATTGACTTACCTTTGACAAGTAGCACATTATGACCGTTAATAAGGAAGTAGCAGGCGGGGCAAAGGTCTCTGTGGTTGTACAAGGCCAAAAAGGAGAAGCAGCTATTTACTTAGTCTCTCACCAATATGAGAGGGGATCAGAGGTTAGAGAAGGAGGACATGGTTAAGAATTAAAAGCCAACACCACTGGAATAAAGTTAATATTGGACTGCGTCAGCCAAGCAACGAAGAAATTCTTCGGCAACCTCAAGTGTTGTTTTTGTCAACACACCCGTGGCAGTACTGAAAATAGAAACTTGAAGTTGGTCTTGGGACAACAAAGGAATTTTACAGGTTCATAGCATGTGTGTAGCTTAATGAACCGTGATTACGATGAAGACTTTATCTTTCAAAATCACCTCGGACCACTTTCTGCTGTGTCTCTTCCTGAGTCTGCTTTGGGTAAGTGCCTTTTTTTAAATGTTTATGTTTTGACAGTGATCACATGGTTCACCTATTTCAAAGAATAGGTACCCTCAACAAAGGAAAAGCGTAAAAACCACAGCAATGGTTCACTGCATGATATGAATCATAACCATAACGGTTAGACAGGGAAACGCATTGTCGGAAATATCCGTATGTACAGAAAAAAAGAGATGCACAACATAAGAATGGACTTTTTGTAGATGGTGAAATATGAGTTAATTTTGTCTTGGATGCAGTAATCGGTTTTTACTGACTTCCTTAGAGAAAAAAGATAAATGAGGAAATAACTTACCGTAAATCATAAAACAAGCTATACCTCAACAAATTGTATCTTATTTATTATATATTTCAGACAAAGAAATGTAACTTGATAATCTCTTGTATTATTGTCTGTATTTATAAGAATACTTATAATTTTGAATGTTATAATATAGTTGAGAATGTAGATCCGGATTTGCTTGTTATTATTTGTACCAAGCAGTGAATTAATCATTTGCCATCTTTTTAAGTAGCATATATTTGTGGTCGCATCCAACAAGTAAAATCCTACAACCATTTTCTGGCCATAATTTAAATTTAAAGATCTTAAATGGTTCTTTGCATTTCCTGAAGTTTCATGTAATAGATGTGATGAAGGAAAGATTGTTGACAAGGAGTATTTTTGTAACCTTCTTGCACACTGCCGTTCACCATTGTTCATGTAACAATATCATAGATTATAACAGCAGAAATGTAATTGCTTTGGGATACTCACATATTGCATTAGAGTTATCTCTGCTATGAGTCAGTTAAACACTTCTGGAAATGTTGGGACTGTATGAAATTATACTTTTTGCGGGTTAGTCTATTCTCACTGTTTTCCAACAATTCCTTTTTTGTTTTTAGGGCATCACTGAGACGACCACAGCAGCATCATCAACATACACAATGGGCACAACAGGAGAGGCAACATCAACAAGCGAACCGCCAACCACTTCATCAACAATCCTTACAACAACAAAGAATCGTGAGTTTGAGCCCCTGCCCTTTATCTCTGTCTGTATTTACTTATATTATAGTGCAGACTTGTATGAAGGCCCATTATAATGTCATTTTGTCTCACACTGAATTCTTCTTCTTCAAATAATCGTGTATTTATGTAAATGTAATAATCATTTTCACGCACTTTCTTATATTTAGCAGCAGAGAGACATGACAATATACATACTTATATTAACAACTATTAAAATTATCTTTACTTCCCAGCTCCCCGTAATGCAGAAGGTTTCCGAACAGTTACACAAAATGAGACCAGTATAACTCTGCGGTGGGACAAAGTTGACAATATCCTCGACTATACACTTGTGTTCAATGGAACGGAGATTAATGTAATTGCATTAGCTGATCCTGAAGTGAAACATACAATCCCAGATCTCACAAGTGGAACTAAATACAACTTCCAGCTCTTCACTGTGTTTGAAGATGTCAGAAGCACTGGAGTAAACCACACTGCAGTCACAGGTAAGATGATTTCCCTCTGATACAGGCAATTATAACATGTAAATGAAAGTTTCTCATTAACTGGGGGGTGTTGCTCACTTTACATATTTGACTGTTTTTGATAAAATACTGGAATTGAATGCGACTTATTTGTTTGAGGAAAGGAACTACACAAATACAATGTTTTATACAGGAAATGCTGTAATTTTTTTATCCTTTTGTCTCATTTTGTGACTTTTCCTTCATCATGTTTCTTTCATTCCCAGCTCCCCTTAATGCAGAAGATTTCAGATCAGTTGAACAAACGGAGACCAGTATAACTCTGGGGTGGAAAAATGTGGATGCAACCTTCAACTATACACTTGTGATCAATGGAGAGGGGATTAATGTCAATGCATCAGATGAAACTGAAGTGAAATACACAATCCCAGATCTCACAAATGGAACTAAATACAACTTCCAGCTCTTCACTGTGTTTGAAAATGCTGAAAGCACTGGAGTAAACCTCACTGCAGTCACAGGTAAGATGTTTTCCCTCTGATACAGGCAATTATAACATGTACATAAAAGTTTCTCATTAACTGGGGGATGTTGCTCACTATACATATTTGACTTTTATTGATAAAATACTGGAATTGAATGCAACTTATTTGTTTGAGGAAAGGAACTACAGAAAATACAATGTTTTATACAGGAAATGCTGTCTTTATCCTATCGTGTAATTTTGTGACTGCTCCTTCATCATGTTTCTTTCATTCCCAGCTCCCCTTAATGCAGAAGATTTCAGATCAGTTGAACAAACGGAGACCAGTATAACTCTGGGGTGGAAAAATGTGGATGTAACCTTCAACTATACACTTGTGATCAATGGAGAGGGGATTAATGTCACTGCATCAGATGAAACTGAAGTGAAATACACAATCCCAGATCTCACAAATGGAACTAAATACAACTTCCAGCTCTTCACTGTGTTTGAATATGCCAAAAGCACTGGAGTAAACCTCACTGCAGTCACAGGTAAGATGTTTTCCCTCTGATACAGGCAATTATAACATGTACATAAAAGTTTCTCATTAACTGGGGGATGTTGCTCACTATACATATTTGACTTTTATTGATAAAATACTGGAATTGAATGCAACTTATTTGTTTGAGGAAAGGAACTACAGAAAATACAATGTTTTATACAGGAAATGCTGTCTTTATCCTATCGTGTAATTTTGTGACTGCTCCTTCATCATGTTTCTTTCATTCCCAGCTCCCCTTAATGCAGAAGATTTCAGATCAGTTGAACAAACGGAGACCAGTATAACTCTGGGGTGGAAAAATGTGGATGTAACCTTCAACTATACACTTGTGATCAATGGAGAGGGGATTAATGTCACTGCATCAGATGAAACTGAAGTGAAATACACAATCCCAGATCTCACAAATGGAACTAAATACAACTTTCAGCTCTTCACTGTGTTTGAATATGCCGAAAGCACTGGAGTAAACCTCACTGCAGTCACAGGTAAGATGTTTTCCCTCTGATACAGGCAATTATAACATGTAAATGAAAGTTTCTCATTAACTGCGGGGTGATGCTCAATGTACAAAATTAATCTTTTTTAAATACTGGAATTGAATGCAACTTATTTTTTTAGGAAAGGAACTACATCAAATACAACGGTTTTTACAGGAAATGCTGTCATTTTGTAATCTTGTCGTGTCATTTTGTAACTGTTCCTTCATCATGTTTCTTTAATTCCCAGCTCCCCGTAGTGCAGGAGGCTTCAAATCATTTGAACAAACGGAGACCAGTATAACTCTGCGGTGGGACAAAGTTGACGATATCCTCCACTATATACTCAATGGAACGGAGATTAATGTCCCTGCATCAGATGACATTGAAGTGAATCAAACAATCTCAAATCTCACAAGTGGAAGTAAATACAACTTCCAGCTCTTCACTGTGTTTGAATATGCCAAAAGCACTGGAGTAAACCTCACTGCAGTCACAGGTAAGATGTTTTCCCTCTGATACAGGCAATTATAACATGTACATTAAATGAAAGTTTCTAATTAACTGGGGCATGTTGCTCACTTTACATATTTGACTTTTATTGATAACATTCTGTAATTGAATGCAACTTGGTATTTGAGGAAAGGAACTACACCAAATACAATGTTTTATACAGGAAATGCTGTAATTCTTGTATCCTTCTGTGTAATTTTGTAACTGTTCCTTCATCATGTTTCTTTAATTCCAAGCTCCCCGTAGTGCAGGAGGCTTCAAATCATTTGAACAAACGGAGACCAGTATAACTCTGCGGTGGGACAAAGTTGACGATATCCTCCACTATATACTCGATGGAAAGGAGATTAATGTCCCTGCATCAGATGAAACTGAAGTGAAACACACAATCCCAGATCTCACAAGTGGAACTAAATACAACTTCCAGCTCTTCACTGTGTTTGAATATGCCAAAAGCACTGGAGTAAACCTCCCTGCAGTCACAGGTAAGATGTTTTCCCTCTGATACAGGCAATTATAACATGTAAATGAAAGTTTCTCATTAACTGCGGGGTGATGCTCACTGTACAAAATTGATCTTTTTTAAATACTGGAATTGAATGCAACTTATTTGTTTCGGAAAGGAACTACATCAAATACAACGGTTTTTACAGGAAATGCTGTCATTTTGTAATCTTGTCGTGTCATTTTGTGACTGTTCCTTCATCATGTTTCTTTAATTCCCAGCTCCCCGTAGTGCAGGAGGCTTCAAATCATTTGAACAAACGGAGACCAGTATAACTCTGCGGTGGGACAAAGTTGACGATATCCTCCACTATATACTCAATGGAACGGAGATTAATGTCACAGCATCAGCTGACATTGAAGTGAATCAAACAATCTCAAATCTCACAAGTGGAACTAAATACAACTTCCAGCTCTTCACTGTGTTTGAATATGCCAAAAGCACTGGAGTAAACCTCACTGCAGTCACAGGTAAGATGTTTTCCCTCTGATACAGGCAATTATAACATGTACATTAAATGAAAGTTTCTAATTAACTGGGGCATGTTGCTCACTTTACATATTTGACTTTTATTGATAACATTCTGTAATTGAATGCAACTTGGTATTTGAGGAAAGGAACTACACCAAATACAATGTTTTATACAGGAAATGCTGTAATTCTTGTATCCTTCTGTGTAATTTTGTAACTGTTCCTTCATCATGTTTCTTTACTTTCCAGCTCCCCGTAGTGCAGGAGGTTTCCGAACAGTTACACAAAATGAGACCAGTATAACTCTGCGGTGGGACAAAGTTGATGCAATCCTCAACTATAGAATTGGGCTCGATGGAAAGGAGATTAATGTCAATGGATCAGATGAAACTGAAGTGAAACACACAATCTTACAACTCGATAGTGGAACTAAATACATCTTACAGCTCTTCACTGTGTTTGAATATGCCAAAAGCACTGGAGTAAACCACACTGCAGTCACAGGTAAGATGTTTTCTGTCTATAAAAGTTTGGAGTTCAAAGTTTCTCTGTGACGGGGCTGTTGCTCATTTATTTGACTGTTGCTGATAAAATGCTGGAATTTATAGATAATTGTTTTGGGGAAAAAAACCTACACACCATTATTTCAATTGATTTTTGTGGCAGTTCCTTTATTGTCTTTCTTTACATCATAGCTCCTCGTAACACAGAAGAGTTCAAATCAGTTGAACAAAATGAGACCAGTATAACTCTGCAGTGGAACAATTTGAATAAGATCTTTAATTATGCACTAGTGTTTAATGAAAAGGAGATAAATGTCCCTGCATCAGAGGAACCTCTATTGACACAAACAATCTTTTGTCACTAATGTCACTGCATTAGAGGGACTATACAAAGTTAAATACAACATATTAGGGCTCACAAGTGGGACTAAATACAATTTCAGTCTCTTCACTGTGTTTGAAAATGTCCTAAGCATTGGAGTATGCTACACTGCAGTCACCGAGATGTTTTTATATGATAAAGGCAAAGCTCTGCAATAATATGTAATCTTAATTTTCTCAGTAACTGTGGGGTACCTCGCTTCATATGCTTAATTTTCATTGATAAAATACTGGAATTAAATGTAACTTATTTGTCTGGAAAAGTTCCCAAAAACCAAACGTTTTATCATCGATGTCTTGCAGTTTTTCCAAATGTTATGCTGTGACCAATCCTAATCGTGTTTCTTACATCCTAGCTCCCCGTAACGCAGAAGAGTTAGAATCAGTTGGACAAAATGAGACCAGTATAACTCTGCAATGGCGGAAAGTGAATGCAATCCTCAATTATACACTTGTGATCAATGAAAGTATGATAAACGTCTCTGCATCAGAGGGACTTGACAAAGTGAAATATGCAATCTCAAACCTCACAAGTGGGACCAAATACAATGTCAGTCTCCTCACTGTATTTGAAAATGTCAAAAGCACTGGAGTAAATTACTTTGCTGACACTGGTAAGATTTCTCCTCTTTGATACAGGCCTACTACAGGAACCACGACACGGTTCTATATTAATATCTAGGATAAATCTAAACAAGCATCTTACTTTTAAAGACTGTCTCTAAAAGTTGTCATAAACCATGGAATATTACTCACACTTAATCCTCATGTCGGACTGAATGTTTTTAAATTCACTGCATATTTAAACCTTTGTCTCTCTGTAACCCTAAATTTGTTCATGTTGTTACATGGCGTGTGTGTTTTCAGTTCCCTCAACAGTGGATTCTGTCAATGTGACTGAACGCTCTGTGACCAACATAACCCTGATGTGGCAGAGAATGAAAAATGACTGGGACTACCGGCTCGAAATGAATGGGGAAAATAGAACAATCCTCCAAAGTAGAACCATGGATGATGTGTCCCATTCAATCCCAAATCTCGAGCCTGGAACAGAGTATCCATTCAGAGTCATTACACTGTTCTCTGGACTCAGCAGCATTGCTTATGAAGGCTTCACAGTAACAGGTATTTGCAATAAAATGAACACAGTCATGGTTCTTGCAAATTATGATTATCTTATAGAATGATGTGCTAACTGTGAAACTGAAGTTGTTTTGCCTGCAATTATTTTCTCATTATTTTCAGGCATAGACTGTGCAAATGGAAACTGGAATGTAACTACCTCATCGATCCAAGGAAGGGTTAGAGGTTTGTTCTCAAGTGCACAAGCCAGTAACACATCAACCCCAATTAATGGCAGTACTGGAAATAGCAGTGTGTCATTTTCTGGACTTTACCCTGGCGCGACCTATAATGTGACCCTTCAATATGAGAAAAATGACACGACATTTGAACAATGTAGACACACTGTGACAATCGGTAAGTACAAATCTGTCTTTCCACATGAATTGAATATTTGTCTGTGTTCCCCACAAAAATGTGAAGTACTAACATAATGTTTAAAATCTATATTGTAAGATTCAAGATTTCAGCATTTAAATAATTGAGTATATGGGCCGCTATTATAATGTATTAAACAATACAGTTATTAATTATTATCTAAAGAATGGGAAAATTACTTTGTCTTTAAAAAGTGAAATTCTCCTCTTTTTTACAATCAACTATCCCCCAAAAATGTAAATACCAAACAAGTAAAACAGATAAGCAGCACATTTTTACTCTGAGAACGCATTAATTACTGGTCAAACTTGTCGTTGGTAGTTAAACTCACTCGTTAAACTAATAGCATTATAGTTTTTAAGAGGATTTTCTGTAAATTGACTAATCATGTTGCATTGTGACTTTTATATGGGAAGTAAACAACTTTCAATGAACTTGTGAACTATCATAACAGCTAGACAGGTTTGTGTTGTGGTTTCTGAATTGAAATATATATTTCCACTTGTTTTTCTCAGTTCCTCCGTATTTAAGATCTTCATGTGAGTACTCTGCAGCCGGCTATTCTATGTCCATCATCTGGAATAAACCGGAAGGTATCTGGACTTCAGTGGAGGTGAACGTCACCGGGAAAACTCCTAAAAAGCTTGAAAATGGGGAACAGTCTCTGGACATTTCTGGATTCCTACCCGCCAGAAAATATGAGGTGTCTATAGCTTCAGTGTCTGGGGATGTAAGAAGTGATAAAGCATTAGTTTTTTCGTGTCTTACTGATCCAAGGGGTGAGTCAAAGTTCCTGTATCACTCTATAAAAATACCATTTCAGTGTATCCTGATGAAACAGTTTACCAATATATTCTCACTTATTATTTTGCTGTTTGGCATCTTTTAAATGACTTGCTTTTTGTGTGGTTATAATGTCTGCTGTGCTGAGTATCTACTGAATGTTACAAAGCATTTAATCCAGAATCATTTTCTTGTAGGAGTAATTGCTGGGTCATTCTTTGCTGTTCTGATTTTTGCGGTCCTGGTCTGTCTGGTTTTCTTTATTTTTCTAAAAAGACCGGATATTATCAGGTTGGTGCCACCTCAGTGACTATAGTTAGATTATCTTCCTGAAATTAATTAAATTAGTCTAAATAAGACTCCCTCTTTGCTTATTTCCCAAAGCAGAAAAAAGCAATTTATTGGTGCTTCCAGACAATCCAAAGAAAAGAGCAAGTAAGTATACGTCATCATATCGTTATATTATTTAATACACTTTCAATATATTGAAAACATAAATGATGTGTTGTATAATTTGAAAGAATAAGAGGGTTTCCATATGTAAAGATATTTTCTATTTACAATTAACGTCAATGTTCTTTAATATTAATGTATGTCAATGGTCTTACATATCATTAACACGTGATATCAATTCAAATATTGCCATTATGTTTTTCTTTTTCAGAGCTATTCCTGTGGCAAAGTTTCCAGAACATTTCTACCAATTAGGCGTGGATGAAAACAGAGGTTTCAGCCAGGAATATGAGGTACATACAAATTGTGTTTTGTTCTTCTTCTTCCGTCTTCATATTTTTTCTTATGAGGGTAAAAACTTTATTGTTTTAATTTCCTTCTATTGACCTTTGTCTTAATCTCATGCCATGTCATCTGCCATCCTCCATGCAGAGCTTCATTCCTGTTGGCACCGACCAAACACGAAATGCAGCCACTCTACCCGAGAACAAACCCAGGAACCGTTTCAACAATGTTCTGCCATGTAAGCCTGTCCTCTGGACCGGGATATCATGAGCAATAGAGACTCATGAAATGGTCCAGATCCACTGACTCATCCGAAACAACGTCTATTTTGTTGTGGTGTATTGTTACCATCTTTTCTCGTCCTAGATGACTGGTGTCGGGTGAAGCTAGCTACTCCCAATCCCAATGGAAACTCTGACTACATTAACGCCAGTTACATGCCGGTAGGTAGTGCTTAATAACGGTCAAAGTGCATATTTGATAAGCTGTATCATTTGTTATCTGGAGTGATATTGCCACGTATGCAAGTAAATGGTTAATAAACAATGAAAACCCTGCATGAACATTCATTCTCTCTAAATCTAGCAATTAATGCTGATTCTCTGGGATTTCATGAAATGACAATTGCTTTTCAGGGTTACAACAGCAGCAAAGACTACATTGCCTGTCAGGGTCCTCTGCCCACAACAGTCAATGATTTCTGGAGGATGATCTGGGAACAACGAGTGAGAGGCATCGTTATGGTAACCAATTGCACTGAAGGAGGAAGGGTAAGTCAACAGGGAAATTTGAAAAAAGTTTTAAAACCAGATTTTAAAGGAAGTACAAACTTAATTCAGTGAGTCAGTGTTAATAATTAGCTAAGTGTCAAATGGTGACTTAATTGACACGTATTGCCACAACTTCAATAACCCATTTTTCTTTATGTTTCTTTCCTAGACGAAGTGTGAGCGGTATTGGCCTGCAGACAGTAAGCCTGTGCCTCACGGAGAGCTGATAGTAACCCTTAGGTCTGAGCAGCAGGAGCCCGACTGGACTTTGAGGGAATTTAGGGTGAAAAATGTATGAAACCCTCTTCAATGTTTATGATGTAACTTAATAGGCTTCTTATTAATATGTTTCCAAGTCACAAATAACTATTTCATGTTTCATAAAACAAGCTTGTTTGAGTTTGTGCACATTTGCTTTTAAAGAGGATAATGCTTGAGAACTTGAAATATATTTGCTCAACACAAATATTTACTGTATTTGAGTTCCTCTATTTGCATCGTCTTCACAGAGGAACAACTCAGAGGAGCGCACAGTGAAACATTTTCACTTCACTGCCTGGCCTGACCACGGAGTCCCTCAGGGCACAGAGGTGCTGATCCAGTTCAGAGGACTGGTGAGACGGCACATAGAGAGAGACGGGGCTGGAGCACCAACTGTGGTTCACTGCAGGTACAAGTTTTACGTCTGGAGAGTAACCTATGCTATTCTTTTGGAAGTTTTGTTTAAAAAACAATTCAGGGGAACAATAAATCAGACAAAGGTCAAAGACAGGAGCCCTGTAGTTAGGTCAAATGAATAGCTTACTGCTACATCATATGATATAGATATGCTTACACATTTTAAATAAAATATCAGCTTTTGAAACGTACTGGCTGAATTTTCATGTCAGTATAAAGTGAATAGTTGCTCAGGAGAAGATACTTATGGGACTACATGATGGTGACCATCATACCTTTTGCTGCATGTCTCTCTTTTAGTGCTGGAGTGGGGAGGACAGGCACTATCATGGCCTTGGATGTGCTGCTTCAGCAGCTAGAGAAAGAAAGAGCGGTGGGCATCAATGGCTTTGTGCACAAGATGAGACTGAGTCGCCCACACATGGTGCAAACTGAGGTAAAACTAACCCTCATTCTGAGCTATGACTTCTTTAGGTACCCTTCATAATCTTTTGATTTTTGGACACAGGTGGTGAAACAGTACAAGCACTGTTCCATAGCAAGTTTAAGCTTTGCGTAATTTTCCACGTAGATGTACATTTTCAACAGAGTTGTCTTTTACAGTTCCGCATTTAACCTACTAATGTAGAAATGTTATCAAAAATGTTTACCAGAATTACACAATAACAATAACAATAAATATATAATAAATAAAAATGTATGTGTGTTTACAAAATACTTTTACAATTCTAAATGTTAATAAGTCCAAACACAAAAAGCTTGGCTTACATTATTAGAGAATTATGAGGCTTTTAAACATCTTTAAGGAAGTATCACCCAGAGCAGTGTGAGAATTAACACTTTAACCCCAAAGTTCTGCTTTCCACATGACCCACAGATTTGGTTTGTGTATTTCAGTCTCAGTTCGTGTTCCTGCACCACTGCATCATGGACTGCCTGCAGCCCCATGAGAATACTGAAGAGAACATCTATGAGAATACTGAAGAGAACATCTATGAGAATGAAGACACGATATACGCCAACGCCACTGCACTCCGAGAGTTTCAACAAAAAAACATAAACTAGACAACTTGACAGTACTGATCATCATTCTTTTATGCACTTATAACTAAATCTACATGCTATATTTTTGCTAAACTGTAAATATGAACAGGTGAGCCTTTATATTAATATAAATTCATAGTAATCTTTAGATTTTATTTAATGTATAACATTGTGTTCATCTTATCAGCTTAATGTGTATTATTCTTGTTATTATTATTATTATTATCATGTGAGGGAACAATATGATGACTGAAGAATGTTTTCGCATTACATTAATTAAAAACGAAATGTTGGTGGAAAAGAATGACTTTCTATTTGTACAAGAAATAAAATATTTTTTATTAACAAATATATCTGAATTTGTTTACAAAGTCTTTAAATGAAATAAAAAGACAACATGCGTCACATTTTCCGTTAGTGTCAACAGAGCTGGGTTTTGGGTCCAGTGTTTGTCCTCGATGCATGTTGATGACAACACACCCGCTCAAGCATCCTCTTCTGCGCCTTAATTCGATGTGTCCTGGCTACTGAAGCTGCTAGAGAACTTATCGATGATTTCCTGTCTGGCTTTTAAGGCCTCGGGGATGATCTCGGCTGGCACTGTTCGCAACTTGCTTGGATGCAGGGGCTCAATTTTACCAGCTACAGGCGGGGGAGGGACGGAGAACTTCTTAGCGAGGTTATGAAGGACACAGCATGCCTTGATGATGTTGCTTTTTTTGTCCAAAGAGCCATCGATTGCAAAACCAAGTTGCATCAGACACCTGAAACGCCACTTCATGGAGCCGAGTGTGTTCCGCATTACCTTTTGGATCTTTGTGTGGGCCTCGTTAAAGCGGATCTCTTTTTCATTTGCAGGTTCTGCCACAGGAGTCAGGACATGTTTGCTCAGGTTGTATCCTTTCCCACCTAAAAGAGACAGGACATTGTGCAATAAAAAATATGTAGCATTAATTGTGGAGGGTACAAACCAGACTTGCCGTGTACAGGCCTTTTTTTGGCAGACAATTGAGAAACTGTACACTTCCCTAAAGGAAACCGCATGATTAAACCAGAAGATAGTGGTGGATGATGTGACAAAGCATATATGTGTTTCAGAACTGACACTAAAAAGGATGTGTAACGTTCCTGCTTACAATATAATAATAGTATATAATTATACTAATAACATGATATCAAGTAGTAATTGTATGATATGACAGCATTACAGGGGGTTGTTACAAAACGCTACTGACATTGTTATGATGTGATATGATCTTTTGAAATCTTGAAGTATTAAATTAATTCTTTAGAAACTGTTTTATTTTGCTTTAAGGCCCACTTTCTGACTTGTTCCAGAGATTTCAACCACACATCTTGGTCTCTGGTGAGTCTTTGACATACAACTGAACGCTTGACACACAGTCACACTTCACATTAATTTGTTAATCATTAGAACATTTATATCTCTGTGCCTATAGGGAATTTCCTTACATCTGGGGAAAACCTCTACTTGAACTAAAGGATAAACTGATAACAAGTTGGTGCTTAAAGGTCACTGGGAACATGAAGAACAAATGTAGGCCATTTCTTTAAGGATTCATATGCTCAAAGGCCAATTTTTTTTTAAATCTTGGTCAGATATTCATGTTGATGTGGTAGTGTAGTGTTTTTGTTTGTTTAATTATTTGAAACAAATACACTGTTAGATACAAAGCTACATTTGAGTTATATGTGTTTTGCTTGAGTAGGTTTTATTGACAGGGAGGCAATGAAGTAGTGATGTGAGAGTGGGATGATTATACACTGTAATGTAGGCTACTATAATGTGTCACTTTGATCCATCTTTTGATTATTTGTATCTTACCAATAACCCAAAACGGTCCATGCACTTCCTCCTCCATCTCCTTCCCTTTGATGGATGAGTACCACATGTCCTCCTCATACATGCTGCCCACACAACACTTCTCCACACTCAGTATGTTTCCGTCGCTGTCACATATGAGCTGGCTCGACACCGATGTGAAACCCAACGTGTTGAGGAAAGACCTGAACCTCTCCTTCTCATATGGAGAGGTTCTGATCCTAAAGTGCGCTGGAGCCAGGACGCCCAGCGCGTTTGGGATCCCGCAGAACTTCTCAATCCTGGAGGCGACACTATGTTTGGCATTGTGGAACAGTGGGAAGGAGATGAACGCATCGGACATCCCGGCCAAGACCTCGGAGACTGTGCTGAGGATCTCGGGGCAATTCGCCTGGCTCTGTCTGGCCCTCAGCAGGAGGTCGGGGGAGGAAACTCCATGCGCGTAATAGTTCAGAGCCACCATGACCATTTCGTCCGCGCACAGTTCTCCTTTCTTCGAGTCGATTTGCTTTAAGCGGATGCGCACAGCGTCTGTGATGAACGCGATACAGGGTCTGGTGAGGTGAAACACCAGAAACAAAGCACCGTCGTCGAATTGGTCGAAACACGTCGGATCCACGTGGGTCTGCTCGAGGAGCTCCTTCTGGACCGCGAGCCACAATGGCAGAGCAAAGGCCATTTGATTACTATTGTACTGTGTTTAAATTCAGATGTGACTGAAGAAAAGAACGGCTGACAAAAAGTAAACAGTAGTACATTACAAGTGTCATGGAAGCTGGGTCTTCTTCTGTCATGTTAAGGCAGTCCACAAAGCTGCGCTTCATCGCCACCCAGCGGACAGGCATGCTGAAGTCACTTTAGTGGAAAGTACTATGACTTTCCAACTAAAACATGTTGGAAATATTTATGTTTATCGTGTGATTTTTGTAATAAAGATAGAGGAACAACATTTGTTCCTTCCCTCTGTCCATTTGACTATATTTGAGTCGGATACGCAACTTTCTATAAATAGGAAAAGGGTTATTAATGTACTTAATGGTGTACTTGATGTGATGGTATATGTTGTGTTCTATTGGACAGACAATAGTATCATATATATTATTTAGATTCTGATTATTCTTCCACGTTAGCATACATTTCAATGCTTTCATTGTTTTCTTGTTGATCCAAAGAAACAGGAGACTTTACTCTTACCAAAATATGAGAGACGAAAAAGCTGCGAAGATTTATATTTGAAAGGAAATACACTTATTTTGAACTCTTAAGGAACTTAAAGGTCACCTATTATGCAAATTCCACTTTCTCATGTCTTTTATACATAAACATGTCCCCCCTTTGTGTAAAGAGATTCTGAAAGTTTCAGGAAAAAAGATTTGCTCACTTTTTGTCCTGATCCATTTATATAAAAACCTGTCAGATTTTGGCCACTTTATGATGTCATAACGATTTTGTGGCTTGTGTAACCATTAGCCTATCACCAACCAAGGTAACACCCCCCACCTTATCACCTGAATCTCCTCCTAGAGAACTCATCTTCTTCGTCACAAGGTCTTCTCCCTTAAAAAGGTCACACAATGTCCCTGACAAAAAATGACAACAACGGCCAGATCCTGCCTTGGGCCATCTTCTCTGACATCTATCAAATTATGTATTTATTTCAATGTTCTTGTACTCAACAGCGATGTTCTAACCCAAGATCACATATCTGTTTATCACAGTACTAAATACTGTAGAAAATGGAAAGCATGAAGCAGAAGACATGACCTTCAGGGAGAGGGGCTCTCATGCTGCTTCCTCGAAATGAACCCATTTTTCCCATTTCTATCTTCATGCTAAGAACCAAATACAGACAACTTATTTTCCGATTTGGCTGGGTCGAAGGAGCATCTTGTGCATGCTGGGCTACAAATTATGCTTTGTCAGGAGATTGTTGACAAAGACAAAAGTGCCCTTCTTGTGCAAAACTGGAAGTGACCAAAACACAGTTAAAGGTCCCCTATTATTCAAAATCTACTTTTTCATGTCTTGTATACATGTGTCCCCTCTGTGTAAAGAGATTCTGAACGTTTCAGTAAAAAAAGATTCCCTCTTTTTGTCCTGATCCATTTATATAAAAACCTGTCTGAAAATGAGCTGATCAGATTTTGGCCACTTTATGACATAACGATTAACCAAGGTAACCCACCCACCCCTTTGTGTTCTCTTTAACCAAATATCTCTCAGAGGGGCGTGGGGAGTGGCTCCGTATTTTCATCTAAAGAGAATCAGCACTTTTGAAACAGGGCTGAAACAGAGGGGATTATGGGATGCTACAATGCACGATCAGTTTGGTATTTCGAGCAAAACACTTCAGAGACATGTTTTGTATATATCTGTGACCTATACTATATTGATAAAAACAGTATAATAGGGGGAAGAGAAGTGCTGATTTCCCCCTGTCTTTTTAACAGATATCCCCTTTGTGTATAGAGTTTATGAATTCACTCTATATTAGCAGAAGCAGGAAGCCTGTACTGTAAAGAGAAAACTGCTTATCAGTTAAACATATATAGCATCTCAATAAATACAAATATGGTGCGGAACTTAAAGTGAAAAAGAGGAAATGTAGGTAAGACACTCAAAATAAAACATTAACATGTAAACTTTGGGACTGAAGTAGATCTGAGTCGGAGGTCTAGTTGTGATCAGATGAATGCATCTTGTGCTTTAACATTGTAAGTCAGAATCATGGCATTTTGAAAACAATAACCCACTAAACTGCTTCAGCACTCGGGATTTTTTTGTAGCTTCACTCCTAATATTTTAGCAGTGGACACTGAGGTTACTATCTTCCCCTTGATAATCGCAATGGGACAACATATTATGGAAGATGGAAGATATCTTCTTTATGATATTTGTTACAAATATTATCCACATTTTCTTTGCATAAAGCAAATATGTATACAAATTGATTTATTGAATATAATCATATATTACATTTTTCATCCAAAGTACAAGTTGCTCCAACAATAAGTTATTGGTGACATTGTTTTACATCACACTCAACATATTACTGCTTTTAACACACATACCCCATCATTTTGTCCAATGTAGATCCGGAACATACCATATTGTCCCCATGTTGCATTGTTCTTTGGTAAATAAACAAAGCAGAATTCTTTATAAACAAAGATGAAAACAATGACACCATATTAAATACCCAGCAGCCTTCCTTCTTCTAGGCCTCCAACTAAAATGTGTTTCTGTTTGTCATAGCTTGGGTGACAAATAAAACATTCTGTTGACTTCACTAATGTCAATATCTCTCAGTCTGGGTATTCCCCCTTTGTTGCAGTCTGTTGTCTTCTGGCCTTTAGCGTACAAATCTGTAACAAAAAGGGAAGCATTGAAATTACCTTCAGTAAGAAGAAGTAGTAGAAGAAGAAGAAGATGAACCTTTATTAAATATAACATACAGTATGATATCCTTTTAAATATGCTTTCCTATTTTCAATTATATATTTTTTGATAATTGGTGATGTTGCTTTTGGTATGTGTTGCAGAAGTCACTATACTGTAGTACTAATACTGTATAGTGAGGTGTGTTAATGTTGCCCTACAGGTGAATTGCGACCTAAAGTCGCTGTTAGCACATGGCTTGTCCTCACCTGTCATGTTGTCCAGGGAGTCCAGTGGAGCCGTGTTGTTCATGTTCACACCGAAAAGCAACACCAGAATAATCACTAACGTCACCAGCAGATAGATGGGTGCAGCAAGGGCCCAATATCTGCACAAGGAAGGAAAATGTCTCAGTTAATGGACCATATTTTTTTTTATATTTATTAACTATTTTGTTAATTGATAACTACTATCCGATCATGATCTTTATATTTACTTTTGAGGCCAGTAAGTGAGCCCTATTGAATGAAGCCACTCCTCTGGTATGAATGCCCACAGGCAATACAGAACTGTGGAGAGAATAAAGGAACGTTAATGTGTTATTGATATGGATGACACATTTTTTATGCTTGCATACCTACTAAGACTATTTTACATTGGAGATATGCGCTTTGCAGGTATTTTGCACACACAACTATGGCAACAAATCCTCATAATAATAACATAACAACATCCCCTTATCAAAATGCAGATCTTATTGCAATTGTTTTAATCGCACTGGACTGCCTATGCTTTTGCTATGTATTAAAACCGTAACAAACATGCTATTAAATACCCTAAATATCTATATTTAATCTAGACGTGTTAAGCATTTCAATACTGGATGAGTTGGATGAAAATATGTGACTTACAGAAGCCAAACTGAGAGCCTAGGTAAAGGACAAACCCATAGATGGCTCTCTCAGGCAGAGGAGAAGGAGAGTTTACCACCATGATCTGAAACCACAACAAAAGAAGCAAGAATATGAAGTGTCAATTCAAAGAATAAATAAAGCTTAAAATCCATGTTTGACCATTTACATACCTTTGAATTCTAGATGAATGCCTTTCAAAGAGCTACCAGATATCTTCCTGACAACACACCTAAACTGAGCTTTAGTAATTTACCACGACGACATTGACATAAACAACATGGCAAATGTATCTGAAATGTAAGTTAAAACATTTAACTATCGACTTTTATCGAAAGGTAGGCTGCTTCTTTTCAAAACTGTCAAACATCTCGCCTACGTTTTGTCCGAAGTTATATTCGGTCCGATATGCAACGTTTGCCACACAACGAGTTTCCGCCTTTCGAACAAGAAGCAAAACAAACAGCAAGTTATATATATTTTAGCGTATTAACATATCACATACACTAAAGTGAATATAAGTTGAAAAATGCAGGACAATGGTTGATTTATTAAAGCCTAACAAATAACTACACATACGCATTTCACGAGCTCGTGTTTCTTCCGGACACATTTGGCTGATGCACGTGTCGGAAATATACATTTCAGCATGGCTTTGGATCTGCTGTAGTTCACTGAGCACATTTCATTGCAGATAAGGAAAACATACTAAGATTTTAGCTGTTTTGGTTTCGCTAAAAGGCACATTTACTCCGGGGTAACATTTGTTGGTGAGACCGAGTTGACGGTTGATTTTATAACGTTAAACGGTAACTAAGCGACGCAGCTCTGACGGTCCAACGTGGCTGGGGACGGTTAACAGACTTTACTTAGAAAAATATTTTACCGAAAGTGGCCACAATGTCAGCGGTGAAGGAAAAGACAAAAGACTCGTCTGTTAAAAAAGGACCTGCAACTACAGAGAACAAATACACAGTTAAAAAGAAGAGAAAACAGTGGATGAAGGAGAAGTTTAAAAGCATAAAGCCTCAACCCCAGAAACAGGAGAAAGCTAAAGTCCAGCAGGTGGCTCCTCCAAAGGATGGCATACAGTTCTCTGCTAACTGGAAGGCCTTACAAGAGGTTTGTCATTTAAATGATCTGTCTCTGACTTGTTACCATGTTTCATATCTGTTTAATAGATTTAATCACATTCAGTTTACTGAAGTTTAAAACTTTGCTAAACTTTCCACAGATGTTGAAGGCCAGTCAGCCGGAGAAGAAGCAGCCTGTGACACCAAAACCTCCCAATGGTGCTCTGCTAAAGAAAGAGAAAACTACAAAAAATATTTCCAAGAACAATCCTGGGCAGAAAGACACCGGGAAAAAAGAGAAGCAAAAAGCTGTTGTTGTTGCCCCTAAGGACTCTAAGGTGAACTCAAAGGGTCCAGCTGTCTCTGAGGTAAAACAGTCTGCTGCTCCAAAAAGGAAAAAGGACAGTGGGAAGATGAACGGCGAGCAGCCAGCTAAGAAAAAGAAGATGGAGAAGATGGTGGAAGAGACAAAACCTACAAAACCTACAGAGTAAGAAGCACTGACGTCTGCGTATATTCAGGTCAAGAGGAATTGTGTCCACTAACTTCATCTTGTTTTTTGCTATTGCAGAGCGGACCTCTGGTTTGATGATGTAGACCCGGATGACATCGAGGCGACGGTGGGAGCTGAGGCAGCAGACATAATGAGGAAGAAGCAGGGCATTCACAAGAGCAATGACATAGAGAGCTCCCTGGTCAAGGAGAAAGCCTTTGAGGGGTGAGTGAGGACAAAGCTGGTGGTCTTTTGTAGCACAAATGCTTCATGTAACACTTGTACGAGTGTAACCAGAATGCAACATTGGCACTGGTCCATCTGCTGTGTTTGCGGTCCCTGTGCATCTTATCAATGGCACTTATTTAGAAGAATAGTTTGGGGTAGTTTTTGAGGCATTCACTTATTTGCTTTATTGCCTTTAGATAAATGAACAATTTATACCACTCTTCTATCCGTACAGTAAAAATAAGGTGAGTTTAAAGACTAATTAAATAGTTATGCAACTTTTTCATAACTATTTAGATTTCTGATTGTGTTTCCCATTTGACAATGCAGCTCCATATAAACTTGGAGCTGGTTTTAATGAATTTAAAACACATTACAAGTGTCAAACACTACTACAACATGCTATGGAGAAATGTGGCACTAAAGATAAATGGCTCAATGCAGACAAACGGAGAGGAATACAAATTGTCTCAAAGTCAAATTCCTTGTATGTGTACATACTTGGCAAATAAAGCTTCTGGTTAACAACATATGCAACAAAAACACAGACGCAGATCTTCCTCAGGCAGGTTGATGTCGTAGTGAACACTGTCCACTCATCACCTTGTTTACCATTCGCCCACCGTTAGCCTCACCAGAGCCGTGGCCATTGACTGCGAGATGGTGGGAGTCGGTCCTGACGGAGAGGACAGCATCTTGGCTCGTGCGTCCCTCGTGAACCAGTTTGGAAAATGCATCTATGACAAATACGTGAAACCCACAGAGAAGGTGACAGACTACAGGACAGCTTTCAGTGGCATCAGACCAGAAGACATCATAGACGGTAAGTAGTGAGAAACTAATACAAGTTATAGTTCATTGCTTTTAAAACGTCTGCATGCTGTGTAACTCCATGACTTGACATCCATGTTTGCCTCACTGCAGGAGAGGATTTACCGACTGTGCAGAGGGAGGTTGCTGAAATCCTGCAAGGCAGAATAGTAGTCGGACATGCCATACACAATGACTTAAAGGTAGCCTGGATGGAGAATCTGAGCAGGAACTTGAATCATTTTCAAAATAAATGTAGGCTCTTGTTTAGCTAAATATTTGTATCTGCTGTTTCAGATTTTACTCCTGGATCATCCCAAAAAGAAAATCCGGGACACTCAAAAGTACAAACCCTTTAGGAAGATTGTAAAGGTAAGTTTACTTTTTGAAGTTGTGCACCCCACTTTACCAAATCTAAGAATCAGTGTTTAATGTTATGTGATTATTTATTTTTATTTTTAGAGTGGTCGACCATCGCTGAAACTGCTTTGCAGAGAAATACTCAACGTTAAAGTCCAACAGGGCGAACATTCATCCGTAAGTCATCAAACACACTGCCCACTTCACAAAAACTGTGCCAATTGTTTTCCTATTTCTCTCACATTGACTGTTTATTGCACAGTAACAAAGAATACCAGTGAAAAATATAAAAATAAAGCATCTTGTACCCACTATCCACTGTTCACCAGGTCCAAGACGCACAGGCCACCATGAGGCTCTACACGTTGGAGAAAAAAAAGTGGGAAGCGGACATTAAAGCTAGTCATAATAACAAAGACTCAGACAAGAAGAGGGTGAGAAAGCCAAAGTCCTCCAAGAACAAGAACATGAACGTGAACAAGATTCTCGTGGGATTCTGAATCCAAAACCAATCTGCTAGGACACCTGTGGATGAGCAGCACAGACTGAACTGATCAGAGGTTTGGAAACATGTTCATAAAAATGAGTTTTCAACGAGTGGCCCTCAGACAGGACATCTCAGGATGTGAAAGACTTGATTGTTTTTGCACAAGACTTTCACAAAGCCAGGAGTGTTCTGCCTGAGCACCTCAGGAAGGAACTTGCACAGGAAGTGAAAGATCTGAGAGATAATTTCGTCTTTTTCTTTTTTTAAACATAAGCCGTTGCATCTTACATATTCAAAGACCATCATTTACTTAGATATTTCCATCAGTCGGCGGAAAGTGGAAACATGAGAACTTCAGAAAATGTTTCCACTAGCACACGATCTTATTTTTGCATAATGTTTCCAGTGTTATATAAACCGTGTGTTTAGATCCTTGTTCGCTCATAACTTTTGTTTGTAGTATTGTGGTTCCTGGTTGCCTTAATTGTTCAAAAAAAAGTATGAATTAAACATGAGAGAAATGTTTCTATCTAGATATATTGCAATTACTGAAAAAACATAAAATACTAACCAAAGTTGTGTCTGACAGAATTTGTAACATCTAATCTTCTATTTTCACTAAATTGATCTCTTAAAATCAGAGGGCTGACATATGACAGATGTAAACAACTTTTTTTTTAACTGATGCTCTCTTATAACCTCTTATACGTCTTATAATGAATACACACAAGATGTTTGGAAGCATGGTGACAATTGTGTCTAGTAGCACAGCTGCACAAGATATAGTTTCAGCATCAACATCCCAACTTGCAATGGTCTCATCGCAGGAAAATGCATCGTCAAGTAAGGAATATGAAATCAAACCATCATGCTACCATTACTCGTATACAGGAGAAGTCTCTTATATAACATCATTTACTCCAAGTGTTTGAGTACACAGCTTGTTTGTAGTGATTGACATGGAGGCTCTGCATGCACAGCAACATCAGCCACATTCATTATTGATCATTTGATCTGAAATGAGGGAGGAACAAGAGGAAAAACCTGTAGAAGAAGGTTGGTGTTGACCAAAAACAAGGACGGTATCTTTATCAGGTAAAGATTATTGCATTTTAAACGCAATGACAGTTTTTCAATAATCCTGCTTCCCTATCTTGTTCTTCGTTGACATGGTTTTTATCATAAACAGCAGCTTGTTTACAACCACAAAGTTGGCGTGTTATTCCTGGCTTTGATGGCCAAAGTCTCCCATGTCAAACCACCAAACTGTTCTTTATTGAATTGAATTAACAGTGTTGACACATCACCTCCATATGGGTTGTGACCCAAAATGCATCAGCAGAAATAAATTCCTCCTTTCTACCTATTTTAGCTTTTAACTCCAGATAAATATACTATGATTTCAGCTTTACTATACCTACAATGCTAGTTTCATGGCACTGATCCCGTTTTGATTGGGGCCTTTCATAGCTGCCCAGTCTTCTGCAAGTGTGTGTTACTTTGCGTGATAGTGGGATTCAGGCTCCTCGTGTGCCTGCAGTTCATCGGTATGATTAACTGTCCATGTTTGATGGAGAACTTGTCTTTCTTATATTAGAAATGCAATCTTGGTCAGAAGAGTCCCGACTAAACCAGTATGGATCAAACTCTTGGAGCCACAGTTGGATGCAATCTTCTTTCCTTTATCTTCCTCTTAAACGAACCCTTCAGATTTAGCTATATATATATATATATTTTTTGCACAAATGTGTGTTATATGGTTGTTTTTGGTCTCCGTAACACACAGCCTTCTCCAAGTTGTTTGAGAGTACTTCTTGTTTTATCCTTATTTCTTCTATCTATTAATTAATGCTATCAAATTCAGCATTACAGGAGTGATACAATAATGGATTCTGTTTACCCGTGTGCCAACAGTTTGTCAGTGTGATTTGCTGCCCAGCGCCTGATGCTCAAGGTGCCCTACATGGCTGATGTCCTTGGTGTCCAGGCTCTAAATTAGACTCTGTGATGCCTGCTGTGATGCCTCTGATAAATATCTGAGCAAATGTCAATATACATTTGGATGAGGGTTTGACTCATCTGCTGATACAAACCTTTCTTTTTATATTTTATATTTTATATTTCGGGCTCACGATGGGTGTTTTGGCACAGCTGGGTTATGATTGTTGCAGGTGTAACATAAAAGCAGAGAAGACTCCTCCCTGGATTTCCCCTTTGTGCAGCCGATGACTGTTAAACGATGTAATGTCTCCCCCTAGTGGTCACACATTTAAAGACAGGAGGAGAGCCAATAGATACAGATATGATTTGATCAATGAAAGATCTTGCCAAAAATGGTTGATTTCATCTCTTATTTATTCATCTGAATGTTTCAATGCATTGGAAACGGCTCAGACTAACCCCACTGGAAATAGGAATTTTACCAAATCTAGATACATTCCGAGAAAACAGCTATTACAATTATGGAACATATACTTAAAGAAATGATTTAGTATTCCTCTTGCTACCTATATGTCTCCACATGGTGATGTCTCACAGCCGAGCTGAACAAAACACATTTATTAAAATATATATCGATGCTAAATTTCATTTTAACTTCAATAAACTCAAAATATAAAATCCATCTCATCTGGCAACCCCCTTCCTTTAGTGCCTTTTTAGAATAATTTCTGGTCTGTATTTTGTGACATTATGAAAAAGTCTAAACAAAAGTCCTGTGCAGTTGTTTGCAATAAATTCAGTGTAATCAATGTTCACTATTATACTTGCAGTGGTATGTGCTGTACATATAAAGCCATGGTCTCAATATAAGGTCTTGGTTACATTTTCATAATAATACCGTATTTATGTCTTTTAATTCTTGAATTAATTTGGTAATTAGTACTGCTCAATCGTGCATGACATAATGAAGCTGTAGCACATCTCTGGAGGACTGAAGGGTCTCATTGAATTGTCCTCCTAATAACTGCAGTGCTGGAAATAACATGATAATAGGATCGCATTTTAAATAATCTCGTGATGGGTTTGGAGGCATTGCTGCTGTTACTCAAATAGCACTTGATTCATAATTAAATAAGAGAAAACTCACTGCCTTCCATTTGTACCCCACATTGTCTCAAAAGGGATTAAACTCAATATTAACATTTGTTGTGCTGTTGGTGTTGGTTGTAAACACGCAGCACAAAAAAAGCAGCCCTGCTAAGTTTAATTTGTGCGTCTTGTTGAGTTCTCGTACCAAAACATCTATTAAAATCGCTGTGCAACCATCTTCCATTGAGTGTAAAGCAGACCTGAAGACCATGTGACGTGGACACAGTTTTACAATTAGTGATGGACAGCATCAATGGAGATTATTGGACCAGCGGTTTGTCTTTGTCAATTAGTCTTTGCACCCTAAGGCCAGTAATCGTTTGTGTTGACCCTCCAGTACAGTGCCCCTTAGTACAAAGAGTAATAGTAGGTATACTGCAATTTAGGGTTAGGGTTTTCAATTGTTTTATATATACACTGTCTACCCATACATTAACATTTACTGGAAGTAACAGTGAACCGATGAATCTGAGGACACCACAGATCTGCTTTTTTCCCCTCTCCGTCAGCGCTTCAGATTCTTCTCTTGACCGCACAATGTCTCCTCAGGTCTGCTCTCACTACTTCCTTATGCATGAGCAGCACCATGCCGCCGCCACCGCCAAGAGCCTGTTGATGTGTCTGTGTTGGCTAATGCTCACTCTCAGGAAGAACCAAAGCTGAGCATTCAGTATTTATGCAGGAATGAGGAAACACTGTCAGCTACTTTCTGTGGATGACTTCCTTCTGCATCTGATCTGGTGAAGGGTGAGTTCACTTTAGTTTGAATATGCAAGTATTGTTTATTCTTAGCTGGTGTGTGCTGATCAGATTCTGTGGATGGTAATGTGGCTCTTTGGGTTGTTCGTTCCACCATTTTGCTCTTGGCTGATTGATTGCTAGGTAATTGATGTTCCCCAGAGGATGAACCCTAATTACTTTGGTGATCTCCTGACGTTTTCTCAATGGCCATCAATAGGTTGACTATTAGATTCAAGAGTGCAATGTGTAAGTAATATTGACATTTCTAATACCAGATACCCACTCCCATCAGCCTCATCGGTACTCTTTGATCAGTGGTAATTTGCAAATGTATTGGTATTGTCACCATGAGCATTTTAGCAAGCTTATATTAGTATTAAGCACTCTAAACGTTATGCTAAATATTATAAATACTGTATGAAAAACTCCTACAGACTTTGCTGAAAGGGCTCTGGCTGATGTTTTTAACAACTTGAATTATCTCAAGAATTATTTAGCACAGCACCTGTATAAATCATGTGTTTGACCAATCCTGGACAGCGCTGTAGGGGTGAGACGGGTTGTAAATAAACTAGAAGTGACATAGTGCAGAATAGAGTTATGCATTGTTTCCGGATAGTGCAGACAAAAGCTCTAAACCTGACACATGGTAGAGGAAAACATACTTTATTGATGGAATTGTGTCGCTCTTTTTACACAGGTCTGAATTACACATATGCACAAACGGGACCGATACTCATGCATTAATGGAGAGATGTCAGAGCGAGGTGGCTCACGCTCTCAAATGTAGCTCATACACACAGAGGGATACACACAGGGACAGGTTGAAAATGTGTTTCCAACCAGGGCAATGATAATACAAACTAATAAGGAAGCGAACCATCGCTTGCACAAAAGTAAAAAAAACATTCAATTAGTAAAAAAGAAAGCCTTAAATCTTTAATCCAGCATATCAGACTATCCAAGCCTGTGTTGTGAGCTCCATGCTATGAATCGCCTGAGTTTGTGCTCACATTTTCTCACTTTTCAACAGCTCCTTTTTTTACTTTATATGAACACTCTTCCAGCTGATGTGTCAGACTTTGATGTGTCAGACTTATTTAAGGATATGGCTTTATGTACTTTAAGTACTTTATGAGCTATAAAGGCAGTGGCGATGCATTTAGCCCTGTAGACTTACAGCAGTGAGAAGCTTGACCTGTATGTTGCTTCTATTCACCTTTCGGAAAGGGTAATAACACTTATTTACAAACCTTTTTGCATTTGATAATTGTTCTTTTAACAGTAACATGGTCCTCTTTATGCTAATTGCACCTTTTTTATTAACTTACATTACTCCTATAGTCATCCTTCTTCCGTCCCGACTTTGCTATGAGAGCATTTTGTGATCAATGGAAATGCTACAGGCACTTTAGTATGAACCTTTTGCCCTTTTACTACTATGGGCATTTTTATGAGGCTATGTTGCACTTGACCTTGAGCTTCCTGTCGATAAGTGCATCAGCAACAATGCTGATCATGGTACCTTGACTGGATTATGGCTCAGACCGAAGAGGCCTCATGCATAAACAGTGTTGTATTTTTATATTTCTTAAAGGGGAACACCTCCTAAATAAGGAATGTATTATTACATATTTACGTGGCCTAAGAAGGTGCAGTCAATATTTGTGAACATGAGCTTCTCTCTGTCAGAGCCACAAAC